GTTGGTGGTTGTGCATCCTTTCTTATGATTAAATTTATTGTCCATGTATCAATTTCCCCATTCTTATGCATATCGTTCAGCATAACACTTAAGATTCCATTGATCCTCACAGTTGAATCTTTGTTAATATACGATATGTGGTCCTGTCTCGTATAATATGTTCCATCTTCTCGGTGTATTGTGTTTTGTCTATTATAACTGTAGCTCCTCCTTTGTCCGCATGAAGGACTAATTTTTTATTTCTTTCCAGGGTTTTGCGTATCACGGCAAATCTGTTCCTGTGTTTAAGCTCCTGATGTGTCAAGATCTTCGGAATTGTGTTTTGTCTATTATAACTGTAGCTCCTGCTTTGTCCGCATGAAGGACTAATTGTTTATTTCTTTCCAGGGTTTTGCGTATCACGGCAAATCTGTTCCTGTGTTTAAGCTCCTGATGTGTCAAGATCTTCGGAATTAGTTCCATCTCCATTTCCCGTTTTGCCTCCTCAGGGAAATTGTCCATGATATTGATAACCTCCACCAGGATGTCTCCTAGAAGGCTTCTATGATGTTGAATTGAAAAATCAAGTCCTTTTTCCAAGAACGCAGTTGTTTCGGGATTGAAAGGAATTGACGATAAGTTTGATACTTTCCTTCTATCGCCGTGCTGATCAGTGAGTGTTGTCACCTCGGAAGCCACTTCAACTAGGTGTACTGACTTTAACTTAGGCCGCCTAAAAATCTATTAGTTTTTTGTTGCCATTTTTTGTAGTATTAATATTAATTGTTTTCTCATCTTAGTATACTGTAAATTATGTCTATTTTTTGTGTTGAGGATAAAACTTTTATTTTATTTGAGTGTTGATACATCGATTTATTTCTTATTCTGTATATATATACTGCCAACTAGTGGTAAATTAAATCTATTTTGATGTAGTGGTTCTATGGCAGGAGTAGATATGGTTATTCAATTGGTTAGTGGTATTGCTTGCTCTATTGAGTATGTAAAATTTATAGGATCTATGTTTGGCTTCAGCCAGGTTGTTGTAAAACCTGGCCCCATAATATATGGGTTGTCTCTTGAGTTGTTGCGCTTCTAACACCCAAGGGGTGTTAGGCTACTTTTTGTTTGTTTTTTATTCATATGGGTCGTGGGATTTATTATAAAAGTTATAGAAAGAATCCCTTAATGTGAAGTTTAGGGGTTGAGTTGTATATTTCTATAATGGTTGAAGCTTTTTTGGGTTATTTACTTCCTTGAAATCAAATGTCTTATTGAGCCGGTGTTGTGATAAGTAGTATTTTTTTAATCTATCCCTTAGATAGGACCAATGCTGTACGTATATTTATTAGGATCTAATGACTTTGGTAGAAGCATTATAGGTCAAGTGTTTGTAATTCATGTTGTTTTTGGTTTAATTATTATATTTTTGATTTTGTTACACATAGTAAGCCTACATAAGGTTGATTCTAGGGATTTTTTAAAAAGAAGTAATAGGTATTCTGATTCAATT